GAATTATCAAAAGGAAACACACATTGCGGAATTTAATTTAATCTTTGTAATAGCCCTAACAACCCATTCTCATTTTCTAACTAATTCTGTGTATGTCTTATAAAGTAATCATTCTATTGATTTGTCTTCAATCCAAGATTGGTCATTAAAATAGTGTATCACGTAGGAAAGTTAATCAGCATATGCCTTTCTTCAAAGCTTCTGTTACTTGCAGATCTACAACAGTGGTAACTAGTGTAAACAATGTTTTCTAAGAAAAATATGCAACTATAAATTCTACACTTACCCACTAAAATGGTTTACTGCATTTTCTTTTCTTTCTTAAAAATCAGTTTTCCCAAAATTCATAATGTCAACTCAGAGTTGAATCACATCCTTATCTACTGCTAACCCCCTCAAATATACATTAAAATTTTTTTTAAGTAGTGGAATTAACAAATCCAAGTTAGTACATGCCTCTTTATCTTCAAATGCCATCAATACAGCACAATTGGCACAAGAAACCTGTCTCCTTGGACAATCCTTGAGAATGTGAATATTAATTTGGCATTTTTGGAAAGGACGTTGGCATTGGGGACAATTCATAAGAGCAAACTCACAATGTGCTTGATGATCCTATAATAAGGAAAAAAATAATTGATTAGTACACTGTTGCCAATTCTGAAGAAGTCTTCTAAATATAATCTTGTCTAAGAATATATTGTTTTCTTTTATAGAATTGGCTACCGAATCTACTTTGTCTAGGACACATCATAGAACCATTCACAACATAAAAGCATTGATGAAGTTTTTTAAATAATAATTGGAGACTGCAAGTTTACACAAAGAATGTGAATTCTCAAGTTCATGCATCCAATTAGGGAAGAAAGTTGGAAAGAAGTCACATGTCCTGATTACCAATTTACTACTGGTAATCAATACAGAAAAGCCACACTTTTAATAAGAGCTGAGTAAAAGAAGAAAGTTGCAAATCTGTCTTAAACATTTAATTTGAAACAGAACATTAATAATACTTAATTACTGATAAAAATCACCAAGATAAGAATTTATTTATTTAATTTAAAAGCAAATGCTTTTATTATTTGATTGGTTCAGTTAATCTCAAACTAAAGGAATATTTCATTTAGTGTATAACAAAATGCAAAATTTAGAAAAACAGGAGAAAAAAGTATGATGAGGATACTGAGATGATTACAAGGGACTTATCGCTTATTTCAAAATGAAAGAAATGACGTTATGAGATTAAAATGTGACACTTATATTTAAAAAATGCTCATCAGTTTTACTGCAGAGAATGCTCACCCAAAAACTTGTAAAAGAACATTGATTTTTTTTTTTTTAATTATCATTGGGGCAAAGCAAGTATAGTTGGAATAAGAAATTTCTAGTTTCTATTTACATTTATATTCAATAAACAAAGGGTTGGTATTAATTCAGCAAGAATTTATTAACCAATTATTATATGCTAGGTACTGGCAATACACAGATGGACACCGTAAAGTCCCTATTCTGTAGGAACTGCCTTTTACATGTGCTAACAGCTAGAACATAACTTTAGTACCTCGAGATGCCTCAGTTCCATCTTGTGCAAACAACCTTCATTTGGACACCTCACCGTCAGAGAAAGAATCTCTCGTTTTGCAAAATTGTCAGGAAATAGTTGATTTTCCAGCAGTATTTCATTGTCAACTGGACATTTGTGACCTGCATCCCTTAAAAAGACAAACAATATATGTCCAATTAGATTTAAACATTCACATTAGGAAATGTTTAACATTACATTTTATATAACATTAACTTCTGAATATATCTTATACATGTTTTATATATATGACATATATAAATTCTCCTTTATTATTTCCTAAGGAAAAATAATTTAACACATTATATTGCATAATGTCACCAAAATAAATTGTCCATTTTATGGACAACTTATGAACTGTCAGTACACCTAACACCACATTGATTATCTATCAAAAACTATGGAATTTTAGATTGTGGGATAGATTCCAGCTAACAAATGAAAAAAATTAACTGAATAAAATCATATTTTGATTGGCATAAAATGAAGTGAAAGTTAAGAATGGGGATTTTGGTAGTTTGGCTGGTCTCTGTTCCATCAGCACCTATACAATATGCTAGCAAGATGGAATACACTATTCACGATACCTAATAATATGACTATAGTGTACTGCTCAGTCATAAGTAAAAATTTAACCAATTAGCAGTACCCTCATGAGGTCACGTTTTAAGGTTTACTCTGAAATAGTTACAACACTCCTCTGGCTCATGGGCAACAAAAGTTTTCCTTTATTTGTATGTCTAGTGTACGGTGTGATTGGGAGTTAAAGGACCTCTGTGTCCTGCTTTCCAGTGGTTTATTCTGTCTTATGATGGGAAGAACCATCCTCAGGAAGCTTGGGTGTCTGTCAATCCCCTTTAACTTTTTGGGATGTCTCAATCTTCACTCACAAAATGTGACAGGCTGGGTGGGCTTCAGGGGCCTTAATCACTCACAAACATTTGCTCAGTACCTGCTACGTGCTCAACAGTGTGATGTGCTGTGACAGGTAAAAAGGTGATTGAAAAACAGTGTCTTCTGTCAAATGGCTTAGAACTAATAAAGGCGAGAGACAGAGTTGATCTTCATGGGGCCTCTCTCAGACTGCAGAATGTTATTACTACATTGTCAACTATTCTTGGAGAAGCAGAGAAAGCCATAAACAAATTTATTGAAATGTGGTAGTACTCCTAAACCTAAAGTCATATATGTCTAAGAGAAAAGAAGAATCTTACAAAGTAAATGAAAACAATGATCCACAGAATTAGCAATCACTTCAAAAGAAAATGAAATTGGACTGAGATGTATTTTGAGTCCCTGAATGACTATAACTGATGAGAAATTTCAAAACAGTTCCTTTAAAAATATTAGAGCAAAGTAAGTGGTTATTCTAGCTTAGAGGGAGATAAAAAAAAAAAAAGTCTCAGACTTCCTTTTGTAGGTTTTATTTCCCTTTCAGACCACTGTACACTACTTTCATGAATATCTTGCTATTAAAAAGCTAAAGACAGCTGACACTTGGTAAAATACCACATTTTTCTACCTACAGGAAAATCAATGATCTGTAATATGGTACAATGTTTACCTAAATATAAACAGGGGCAATCTTGCCCCCAAGGGGACATTTTGGGTTTCACAACTGGGGGAAAGGGCATCTAGAGAGCAGAGGCCAGGGATGCTGCTAAAGATCCTACAACACACAGGACATTATCCCACAACAAGGAACCATCTGGCCCAAAATATCAACAGTGTCAAATAGCCCAAAGTATCAATAGGGGTTGAGAAAATCTACCCTAAACAGATCTTGTCAACACTGGGTAACACATTTTTCCCAAAAATTGAAACAAGAGACATGCTTCCTTGTAACTTAAACTAAGCCAAGTCCCGAGTATGGATATAGTTACTCTAAGTTCAAGTTTCATAGAAAAGTTAATGTAAAAATTGAGAGATAAAAACTTAGGAAACTAATGAGTTGCCAGAAATGGACTTAACCTACTTAAGAATTTCACCAAGATAACTAGATGGCTATTTATTGAAAAACATAAAATCTGTTCCCCTTCATCTAATTTTTTGTCCTGAAAAGAACTCAGTCACCTAAAAATATTCCCATTTACCTTTGAATTATAGTAAAATGTTATCTATTTCTTGGAAGAGGATTTGAATCATTTGTGGAAATCCCATGTACTGTCATTCAGTTAAAACCACCACGATTTACTGAGCACCTACTGTGGGTCAGCCACTGTTCCTGGCACTTTGGAAATAGCGAGAAATAAAACACATCTAAACCTTTGTGCACAAGCTTATCTTCCAGTGGGGATAGCAGACAATAAACACATAAACTTTCTGGTGCTTTATAAGGCAGAAAGTGGTACGGAAAAAAAGTAGAGCCTGGTAAGAGAGACTGGGAGTGTTGGGAGCGAGCAGGGTGGAGGCATGCTGCGGTATAAATAAGGAACGTATGCGAAGGTGAGATTCGAGCCACACTAGAGGGAGTTCAAGAATGTTCCAAGCAGAGAGAACAGCTAAGCCACTCACCAAGGCAGGAGCATGCTTTACATACTCAAGGAATAGCAAAGAGGGAACAGGTAGAAGGAAAGCAAACGCAGTAGGAGGTCAGAAAGTGAAGTATGGGCCCATCACACAGGGCCTTTCCAGGACTTTGGCTTTTACTCCCAGATGTCCCACTGCAATGTTCTGAGCAGAGATGACATCATCTTACTTATTTTACAAGGTTCACTCTGGCTGCTGTATTGAGAACAGCCTGCAAGAGGGGAAAGCAGGGAGGCCTGTTAAAGGGCTGATGGTGATTCAGAACAGGGTGGTGGCAGTGGAGGAAGTGAAAAGGGATATATTATGAAGGTAACCATCAGTTACTACTTTCTTTAAAAACACTGGTTATTTTACAGTGGCACATAGACATTAGGTAACAGAATTTAATATGGCTAAAATAGGAATAACTGATCTCTTACAGAGTCGGCATTCTTTATATGGTTAAGATTAACATAGTCTAATACTATAATCATCAACTAAAAATATTATTTTCTTTAAAGCATAGAGTCACCCCCTGGTCTGCATTAGAACTGCTTTAAGTAGAAGTAGGTATTTACTTATTTACCCAGAGGTCCGAGGAGAGGGAAAGAAAAATTCACTTTTTGTACCACAGTAATAACTGGGATAAGAATCTTCCTCAATTTTCTGTCCAGGGTTCTTTTTCCCTAAGTAACCTTTTATGTATAAGACTATACTTGGAATGTCCCGTGTTCTAGATAATAACGTTCTCTGCATCTGGTTCTGCTCTAGGACACCATTCTTTCTTATGCTCATGTACCTTATTGATTTTATGATGCAGGCTTTGCAGAACCTGTGGCCGCAGGGTGTTTGTACTGCTTCCCGTAATGCCATCAAACAGATGGGGCATTCATACTTGCTTTCCAGGGGTGGGTCAAACTCCACATCATATCCCTGGATCTCTTCCACAAAAGAGTTGGAGAGGGTCCCCGTGCTGGCAGTTCCACTCACGCTGTCATCTTTGGCTGCGGCGCTACAGGAGCTGGCCATGGCAGCACAGCAGTCACTTTCAGACTGGCTGGATGCACAGCTGTTTTCACAGTTTAGCAGACTCATAGTAACTTGATTATCACTTGCTCTGTAGATACAGCAAGAAAAAAATGCCTTAACATACATGTACTACACACACACACACACACACACACATACACATCACAGCTTATCTTTACAAGTCACCTTTTAGTTCATAAACATTAGCTGTGTTAATGTTCTTTACAGAAAACTTTTAAAAATGTTTTGAGCTTTGTTTCATGACTATTATTTTATTTATTTATTTTGTCAGGACGAAGAGTTTCCTAGAACTATTTTATAAGTTACCTGATTCCCTCCTTCAATATATATGTACCATCATTTATACAAAGCACTTGGCATACACAAAGAAAGCTGGATACCTTAAGAAGTTCATGATCTAGTAGAACAGAATATAAGGCTAAAAAGGGAAAAGTACTTCAATTGTAATACTCATCTGTATCACAATTATCTGTTTATATGTGTTTCCTGTGACAGAGGTAAGAAATTTAATTTTCATTTCCTCAGTACTTAGCACAAGATTTTTCGTATAGTAGGGTGTTCATTCAGCAACTGATAAAGAACTTATTCATGTTGCTGAAGTTCCTTCAAGTACCCCAAGCTGAAGAGAACAGTCTGGTAGCAGGGCAGTGCCAGGAAACACAGTACACAGGGAATCAGGTGATCACGTGCCACTGCTAGATGTGGCATTTGGGGCAAGTTACTTAACTCTTTGGATCTTGGCTTCCTCTTCTAGGTCTAAAATTCTATGAAGACTTCCAAATGCTCAGTGTGGGGATTTCTCTTATGCAGAAAAAATGGAATTGAAAAAGTATATTTTTATGTCCTGCCTTCACAGTCAGGTCAAGTGACAATGTTTCATTATTAATGACTGGAAAAATGAGTGAGGTTTTGTTCGCCTATGGAAAACCATTGCTTTCGTGAACAGATGGGATATCCTCAAATTCTAAACTGTTATTGTACTTATAAGTGAGAAGCTAATGTCTAAAAGCAATTCACAGCTCATGTAATCATATCTCTATTTTAGATAATTACTCTGGTGGAAAACTCCTAATATGTGCCAGATATCATTCCAGAAATAGAATGTAAGCCTCTGCTCTACATGATAGACAATTATCCCCCTGCCTGTCTCATTTTTTAATAAAATTCCTGGCTGCCACTTCACCAAACAGAAGATTAAGACAGTAGTCCTCAAGCTTTTTACCACTACCAATGTCTTTTTATTCTCCTCAAAGACTCTGAGTAGCATTTCATGGACACCTACGAAGTATGAGGCACTGTTCTGGCTGGAAGGACAGTACTGAGAAGTGGTGATGATGCTGGAACTGGATGATCTGGGTTTAATTCTTTTCTTCTACTCCCAATCCTGTTACTTATTAGATGATTATGACTTCGGCAAGTGATACAACCTTTCTGTGCTTCACTTTCCTCATCTGTAAAATGGGGCTAACAATAAAATCCATCTGAGAGTTACTGAGAGGATTAAATGTGTTACTATGTGCAAAGCACTTAGAACTGTGCCTAGCAGTAAGAATGAGTTATTGTGACAACAGCTTTATATAGTATTTTATTTAACAGTTTTATTGTTCCCACTTATCAAAGTGGAAATTATGCAGCCAAAAAAGGTTAAATAACTTGCTTGGGATTACGCAACTAATAAGTAACAGGGTTGGGATCCAAACCCAAGTCTACCTAACCCCTGTGCATTTTGTACTACACTATGTTTATCCATGTTTTAACAAATCTGTCTATGAGGCTGCATTTAAATTTATTTGCCTTTATATTTATTACACTAGACTAAGGTGCTTACCACAGTTACTATTAAACGTGAGCTGTTCTAGCACTATTACACTGATTTGACAGAATTTCAAAGACTCTGCAAAGAAACTTAGCATTTTGCTTGTTTAGTTTTGATACAATATTTTTTTAAAAGTTAAAAATAGCCCCCAGGCCGGGCGCGGTGGCTCATGCCTGTAATCCTAGCACTCTGGGAGGCCGAGGTGGGTGGATCACTCAAGGTCAGGAGTTCGAGACCAGCCTGAGCAAGAGCGAGACCCCGTCTCTACCAAAAAATAGAAAGAAATGATCTGGACAACTAAAAATATATATGTAAAAAAAAAATTAGCCAGGCATGGTGGCGCATGCCTGTAGTCCCAGCTACTCGGGAGGCTGAGGCAGGAGGATTGCTTGAGCCCAGGAGTTTGAGGTTGCTGTGAGCTAGGCTGACGCATGGCACTCTAGCCTGGGCAACAGAGCAAGACTCTGACTCAAAAAAAAGAAAAAAAAAATAGCCCCCAAAGCTTTGTTTTATCTGTTGTGGACCCTTAGGAAAGGCTCACACAGATTGAGAGGAAGGAAGCAATAGCAAGACAGCGGCAAGCAGCAGAACTAGTCATTATACCTGCTCTCTAAGATGGCGTCTAAGGCCCCCTTCATACCTTCCAAATCTGAGGACAAACGACACTGTTATGCTACACTAGGGTATATATCCTTTGTTATTTTCATTCCCATATACAGGTATACTAGGAGATATTTTGGGTTTGGTTCTAGACTACTCGAATAAAGCGAATATCTCAATAAAGCAAGTCACATGAATTTTTTGGTTTCCCAGTACATATAAAAGTTATGTTCACACTATACTTTAGTCTATTAATTGTGTAATAGCATTATGTCTAAAAATTAAATTTAAATCAATTTATCTGAATTTAAAAATATGTTATTGCTAAAAAATACTAACAATCATCTGAACCTTCAGTGAGTCGTGGTCTGTTAGCTGATAGAGAGTTTCGCCTCAACGTTGATGGCTGCTGAGGGTGGTGGTTGCTGAAGGCTGAGGTAACTGTGGCAATTTCTTAAAATAAGACAACAACAACATTTGCCACATCAAGTGACCCTTTCATGAAAGATTTTGCTATTGCACGTGATGCTGTTTGACAGCATTTTACCCACAGAAAACTTCTTTCAAAATTGGAGTCAATCCTTTCAAGCCCTGCCACTGCTTTATCAACTAAATTTATGGAATATTCTAAACCCTTTGTTGTCACTTCAACAATGTTCACTGCATCTTCACCAGGAGTAGATTCCATCTCAAGAAACTACATTCTTTGCTCATCCATAAGAAGCAACTCCTCATCTGTTCAAATTTTATTGTGAGATTGTAGCAATTCAGTCACATCTTCAGGCTCCACTTCTAATTCTAGTTCTCTTGCTATTTCAACCACATCTGAAGTGACTTCCTCCACCGAAGCCTTAAACCTCTGAAAGTCATCCATGAGGTTTAGAATCAACTTCTTCCAAACTCCTGACCTCCTTGCCATAAATCATGAATGTTCTTTTTTTTTTTTGAGACAGAGTCTCACTCTGTTGCCCTGGCTAGAGTGAGTGCCATGGCGTCAGCCTAGCTCACAGCAACCTCAAACTCCTGGGCTCAAGCAATTCTTCTGCCTCAGCCTCCTGAGTAGCTGGGACTACAGGCATGCGCCACCATGCCCGGCTAATTTTTTCTATATATATATTTTTAGTTGTCCAGATAATTTCTTTCTATTTTTAGTAGAGATGGGGCTCTCGCTATTGCTCAGGCTGGTCTCGAACTCCTGACCTTGAGTGATCCACCCGCCTCGGCCTCCCAGAGTGCTAGGATTACAGGCATGAGCCACCGCGCCCGGCCATGAATGTTCTTAATGGCATCTAAAATGGTGAATCCTTTCCAAAAGGTTTTCAATTTACTTTTCCAACATCCATCAGAGGAATCACTATCTATGGCAGTTACAGCCTTACAAAATGTATTTCTTAAATAATAAGACTTGAAAGCAGAAATGACTCCTTGATCCATGGATGTTGTGTTAGCAGACATGAAAACAACATTCATCTCCTTGTACATCTCCATCAGAACTCTTCAGTGACCAGGTGCAGGTCAATGAGTAGTAATATTTTGAAAGGAATCTTTTTCTCTGAGCAATGTGTCTCAACAGTGGCCTTAAAATATTCAGTAAACCATGCTGTAAACAGATGTGGTGTCATGCAGGCTTAGTTGTTCCCCTTATAGAGCACAGGCAGAGTAGATTTAGCATAATTCTTTAGGGCTTTAGGATTTTCGGGATGGTAAACAAACAGTGGCTTCAACTTAAGGTCACCAGCTGCATTAGACCCCAAGAGAGTCAGCCTGTCTTTGAAGTTTTGAAGCCAGGCATTGACTACTCCTTTACAGCTATGAAAGTCCTAGATGGCATCTTCTTCCAGTAGAAGGCTGTTGCATCTACATTGAAAATGTGTTGTTTGGTATAGCCATCTTAATCAATTATCTTAGCTAGATCTTCTGGATAACTTGCTGCTTCACCTTGCACTTCTACATTATGGAGATGGTTTCTTTTCTTAGACCTCATCAATCAACCTCTTCCAACTTCAAACTTCTCTTCTGCAGCTTCCTGATCTCTGTTAGTCTTCACAGAACTGCAGAAAGTTAGGGCCTTGCTCTGTATTAGGCTTTGGCTTAAGGGAATGTTGTGGCTGGTTTGCTCATCTATCCCTGTGGTCTCCAACCCCCTGGCCATGGACCAGTACTGTCCATGGCCTGTTAGGAACTGGGCTGCACAGCAGGAGGTGAGCAGTGGGGGAGCCAGTGAAGCTTCAACTGCATTTACAGCCGCTCCCCATGGCTCACATCACTGCATAAGCTCTGCCTCCTATCAGATCAGCAGTGGCATTAGATTCCCACAGGAATCCAAACCCTACTGTAAGCCACGCATGTGAGGGATCTAAGTTGCATGCTCCTTACGAGAATCTAATGCCTGATGATCTGAGGTGGAGCTGAGGCACCGACGCACATTACTTTCCATGCTTTAAATACAGATTATCATTAGCAGAGAGGCTTGACTGAACAATAAATGTAATGCACTCGAATCATCCCGAAACCATCCCTTACCTCCGGTCCATGGAAAAATTGTCTTCCATGAAACTGGTCCCCGGTGCCAGAAAGGTTGGGGACTGCTATTCCATCCAGACAACTAAAACTTTCTCCCATATAAGCAATAAGGCTGTTTTGTTTTCTTATCACTTGTGTTTTTACTGAAGTAGTACTTTTAATTTCTTTTAAGAACTTTTCCTTTGCATTCACAACTTGGTTAACTGGTAAGAAAGACTTAGATTTTGGCCTATCTTGGTTTTGACATGCCTTTCTCATGAAGCTTAATCATTTCTAGCTTTTGATTTAAAGTGAAAGATGTGCTATCTTTCCTTTCATTTGAATATTTACAGGCCATTGTAGGGTTATTAACTGGTCTAATTTCAATATTGTGTCTCAGGTAACAGGAAGGTACCACGAGAGGGAGACAGGTGGGGAAACCCCCTATTGGTAGAGTAGCTGGAACTTTCTCATTTATCAATTAAGTTCACCATCTCATATAGACATGGTTCATACAACTCAAAACAATTATAATAGTAACATCAAAGATCACTGATCACAGATGACCATAATGGATATAATAATAATGAAAAAGTTTAAAATATTAAAAGCATTTCCAAAATGTGACAAAGGGACATGAAATGAGCACTTGCTGTTTAAAAAATGTGGCCCATAGCTTTGTTTAACATAAGGTGGCCATGAATCTTCAATTTATAAACTACGCAGTATCTGTGATACACAACAAAGCAAAGCACTATAAAATGAAGTATGCTTGTACATTTTTGTGTCCAATTACTTCCTTAGGTAAATTTCCTAGAATTGCGGGATCAAAGGGTATGTAACTTTTTAAGCTTTATGAAAGATAATGTTGTTTATCCAATATGTATCAAAGGCATCCTAATTCTACTCCCATAAGCAGAGTATTTATGATAAAGCTCATTTTCTATACCCTTGACTAGGTATATTTATCTTTTAAATATTTTGAGACAGTCTCTGTCACTGCAGGTAGAGTGCAGTGGCATCATCATAGCTCACTACAACCTCAAACTCCTGGGCTCAAGCCATCCTCCTGCCTCAGTCTCCCAAGTAGCTGGGACTATGGGTGCACACCACCATGCCCAACTAATTTTTCTATTTTTAATAGAGATGGGGTCTCGCTCTTGCTCAGACTGGTCTCGAACTCCTGAGCTCAAGCAATCATCCCGCCTCCGCCTCCCAGAATGCTAGGATTACAGGCATGAGCCACCGTGCCCAGCCCTATCTTTTAAATCTTTAACCATTTTTTAAAAAGTAAAATCACTTTTGAGAAATTAATATTTGTTATTTGGTTGTACAGTATATATCAAAGTGCTAGCGAGACAACAAAGGTAAAAGTTACTGAGCTAAGTCTACATTTTCTGCTCAAACGTCCAGTTTAAAATTCGGTTTATTGGATAGTCTACATGCTGCCCTCTTCCAGTCCTTTTCAAAAGACTTGAAGGTCTCTGGATTTGAAGAGACCTTTATAGCTAATGTGTTCCTATGAAACCCGTCTAATCAGTTACAATTCCTTAAAAGGAACTCCACTATGGGAATGCAGTATAAGACATAAGTGAGCACTCTTCAAAACCTAGATGCCTTCAAGTTTCACATGACTTTCCATGGTTTAAGAACTAATACAGAAGCTTTATATAATATCTTCCAAATAAACTTTTTCAGATAATCACTAAGTCTACAGTATACAGTCCCATGTAACTTACTACAAAGGGAAAATTAAGCTAAAAACAGAATTTTGAGTCCCTCATTTAATATTTTTATGTTTATTCTTTCTTTGGCAAGTTAAAATATTTTTTCCCCTTTACTTTTAAGGATCACAATGACTTAACAGAAATCACCTTCCTAATTTAACTACAATGAACAGCTATTTTAATTAACACTAAGAGAAGAACTAAGAGTGCTTTATGTCTCCTGTAGAAGTGAATAAAAAATGATCTGGCATGTATGCAGTAAATATTATGCTCTATTAGGATTCTTTTTACTTTTTAACCTCATACTGTCATAGGAATTGCTACAAAAGTAGGCTGAGATAGAACTTTGGCTTTACAGAAGGAAGAGAATGTTTTTGTAAAATAAAACTTTCCTACAGCCTCTTTTCTACTCACTTATGTAGCTTTCTATATGAGTAGAAGGGATAGAACAAAGTTTAAATTGTTCTTAACTTGTATGTTAAGAACTTCATGATTGCAATTTCCTTTTTGCAGATGTGAATCTAGTAAGGGAAGCACTACCTTAATTAAATATTGGGGGATATAACCACTGCCAACTTATTTTAACTGCAAAATGAATAAATAATAAAACAGCCTGTTTAAATCCACAAATTAATAACTGGATATACATTATAATTCAAAGAGAATACCATTAAATGTTGCGGGGGCATGGAGTACGGTGATCTGCAAAAACTTTTTCCTCTAAGACCAACAGATGCTAATGAGATTTGTACCAAACTAAAGAAATCAACAAGTTATGTCTTGAATGAGTCAATTTTAAGTCAACAGAAATTCATACATGAGTAAACATACAACTTGCTAATGAAAAACCATGTAAAAGAAAATACTGAGAAATTACCTTTAATTTGCTACTAGGTTTAGAAACAGGAACTGTTTACGTAAAAATTTAAAATCTATTCCTAAAGTGCAGAGACCTGCAAATGTGCTGCAAGGGCCAGGAGACACTGCAAAATATTCAGTTGTTGTGCCTTAATTCTGAATCCAAATTCAGGAGGCATTCTCCTTCCTAGGCACTATTTGTTCTCCTCCAGGAGACAAGGATTTGAACAACTTCTTTCAAAATCCAAGTGGCCAAAAATTTATCAGCACCACATATCCAAATCGATCACAGAAAAGACCTCATGTTACAATTCTGAAATACTGTGATGTATATAGTGCGCGAAGGTTGAAACTCTAATGTGATCCTTGTACCCATCACATGGGCAACCAGTGCCTGAAACACATTCCTTCCTTGAGTCACAAAAGAGGCCACGCTGTCCCTACCAGACCCTCAACCTCAAAATCAGAAACGCCCCTCTACCTTCCCTAGTAATCGAAAGAGAACAGACAAAATGCCAGCAGCCAAGTCACAAGTTTTTCTCTTTTCTATTTAGTACCTGTGTAGCAATACATTTAGTAATCGGGCCTTTAGAGAAACAAAAGAAACAAATACTATAGAACCAGGCTGCTAATACTTTAGGTGCTTTCTGTTCACATTCAAGACAGTCCTAACTCTCAGCTGGAGTTCCCCTAAAGCCAAATACTAGGAACAGCTTTATCAACCCAGCGTCTGGAACAATCGCTAGAACTACCGAGTGCAGGGGCGGGGGAGGAAACAGTCGTGTCATCTTAATTTTTTTTTAACTTGCTGTCTGGGACCACTGTAAAGTTCAACAGAGAACCCAAAAATAGGTTTCCCATGACAGTGACAGAAGGAGTCGCTAGGAACTCAAAGGGATTTTTCTTTTTTCAATTTAAGAAGGTAACAGTTCTGAGGGACGGGAAAATCCAGAAGGCAATTTCCTTTTCTGGGAAGGGGAAAAGCGGGGTGAGGGGAAGCAGGTCTGAGGAAACTGGGGTTTCCTCCGGGGAGTGGAGTAAGCGAGAAGGTGGTGGCCAGGGGAGCGGAGGTGACTGCAGAGGGGGCGGCGTCCCTGACCAGCAGCAACCAAGGGGGCAGGGGACGGCGCCCCCCACCTGTGGGAAGGGACGTCGCAGCCGCCAAAAGGCGTCGGGAGGAGACTCACCGCTCGAGTGCGCTGGGCCGCTGAACAAGGCGCGGAGGGCTGCACCCAGCCGCACGGCTCCGCTCAGCCAAGGCGCCGGAAAAGGGTGGACACCGCGCTCTGAGGCGAGGCAGCCCGGAAGCCAATCTCCAGGGCCAAGGACCAGAGCCACTGCGTCCGCGGGCCGCCCGGAGCCGGAGCCCCAGCCGCGGACGCCGTTGCTTCCGCCTTCTCTGATCGCCGCGAAGAGCGAGAGGCGGGCAGTGCGCGAAGTAGGAGACAGAGCGGTCGCGTCGGGCGATAGCGCCCCCTGGCGGCGGTCCTCCACGGCGTGGGCTGCGGCGCAGGCGCAGGCTCAGAGTGGGCCCAGCTGTCAACCCGGCGCACTCGGCTTCGGCTTCCCCTCCCTCTCCGGTGCCCTACCTGGGAATTCCTTTCGCCACAATCCGGATCTGGAGTGTGTTTATGTGTACGTTGCGGGGAGGTGGTGGGTATGACTTGCAATAAGATCGATGGCCGTGAGAAAATCAGTCCCGGAGTAACTGTGATTTGGCGAGCAGTCGCGACAGCAGTAATCCCAAACTGTTTTTACAGCTTCCCTATACAAGCAGGAGAAAACCTCAAGTGGGCTTGATCGCTTTACCTTGGGGAATTCTTAAATCCCTTCCTAACTCCGCCCTCCTTACCATGGAAGTTTCCGCGAGAGATGGAACCTTCTATTATCACCTTGGCTTCCTCCTCATCCAGTCCAAGGGAGTCGGTCCATGCATTAAACATTTCTTTGAAATTGTTGCCAACTACACCAGCCCTTTCTTTGTCATCGTCACGGGAAAGCTATTTCGAATTTCTTGTTTAACTGGACATAAATGGGTAGAGAATATAACAGGCATTTGGCAGGAGATGTACAAAAGATTTCCACCCACTTCTAAAAAAGTGGCTCGTCGTCCACCTCTTAGGGGAGGTATTACAGGGTAATGGTGGTGTGTGCATATCCTGAAACAAGACTGCTTGGTTCAAATCCAGCTTTTCCCCTTACTAAACTGTATGACTTAGATAAATTGCTTAATCTGTACTTGTTTCAATTTTCTCATCTCACATTAACATGGGGATAATAATAGTACTTACCACACAGGGTTGTGGAAGGGTGAGATAATTTAAAATATGTAAATAAATTATTCAAAACTATCTAGAACATAATGTGTGCTCAATAAATATTAACAATACTGCATATCCTGCATTCTGGCTGCTAATATTCATAGAAAATGCTTCTCTTTTCAAGATAAGAATCTGTCACTGGTTCTCAGATTCTATTGATCCCCTTTTAAAAAAAATATTTTGCAATATTTAAGACATAAAAAGTGTAAAGAATTATACACAAACATTTGTGTGCTCACCACCTAGCTTAAGAAATAAAATATTGCCCTTTAACTTGTCAAATTGTAAGCCTTTGTTTATCCCTTCCCAGTGTCCCCCGTTATAAAAATAAATCCCTTATGGCAGGGGTCCCCAACCTATGGTAAGTTATGTAATTATTTCATTACACATTACAATGTAATAATAATAGAAATAAAGTGCACAATAAATGTATTGTGCTTGAACATCCCGAAACAATCCTCCCCACCCAGTCTGTGGAAAAATTGTCTTCCATGAAAATGGTCCCTGGTGCCAAAAAGATTGGGGACTGCTGCTTTATGGAATAAAAAAGAGATCACTACGAGTAATTGAGAGATTGGGAAAAAGGAAGAGCAAGGTAGTCAGAATTCCCTCCACTTACTAGTGTGAGCCCTGGGGCAAGTTATATAATCTCCATGAGCTGCAACGGCCAAAAACCATATAAAAGGGGATAATGTCTGCCTTACCGGGCTGTTGTCAGAATCAACTAATAAAAATCTATTCTGAGAAAATCCAACACTGGGCTTTCAAAAAGATTAGGTGTTCTCTATGTGTTTCTTCATACTGTTTTCATAAGTGTCCTCAAAGGGCCTCCTCCTACTTCTATGGATCCAATCTATTCTCCACTACTTTATATATAGTGGAGAGTTTTAGTGCTCATCCAGGCCATGGGCACACAGGAAACTTATAATTCCCTGTCCCCTTGCCATCAGGCAGGGCCATGTGACTAGTTCTCCCCTGTGGGCTATGAGGAGAAGGATGCATGTGCTTTCTTGGCCAAAGCATTTGATTTTCATTGCAAGCCTCTGTTCCCTGTGTGCAACCAAGGAGTCCATAGGGCAGCTGTAAGAGGAGACAGGTGTATCACTAAGTTGATGTATGGTGGGCAGTTGCCTTGGAAAGTCAACCCCACTTGCATTGGACTTTTATGAGCAGGAAACAAATCCCCGTTGTTTTAAGCCATTGAGATATAGGGGCTGTCTTTTCTGTAGCATAACTCAGCCTATCTTATACACAGTTCCTTCTTGAAATCTTTTCTGATACTGGGAATCAGAAAACCAAGGTTCTACTCTTAGTTCTGCCTCTCTTTAAAATTGGTCAGGTGTCCTCAACTATAACGTTGGAGTTAAATCTACCCTGTCTTCTTCCCAGAGCTACTATGAGTCCAAATGAGATCATATGTAAAGATCTCATTTTGTGAACTAGGAAGTCCCATACAGATGGAAGGAATTGAATATTCTAATTAGTAGAGTTACCTATATACGGCAACCACAGTGCCCAGGTTTTCTGAAAAGCCGCTAATTTAAAATATTTTATCCAGTTTTCCTTATAAGTAAATCAAACGTGTACAAAAATATAGTCACCATAGCTGCTATGGTTTGAATGTGTCCCCTAAAGTTCATGTATTGGAAACTTGACCCCCAATGTGGTGGTATTGGGAAGTGGGGTCTAATAGGAGGTGTTTGGGTCATGGGGGCACAGTTCTCATGAATGGATTAATGACATTATTACAGGAGTGGATTCATTATGGCAGGAGTGGGTTCCTTATAAAAGGACAAGTTTGGTCCTCTCTTCTCTCTCTCTTTATCACCCTATTTTTGCCCTTCCACCATGGGATGACACAGCAAGAAGGCCCTTGCCAGATGCTAGCCAGCCTGCAGAACTGTGAGCCAATAAATTTCTATTCATTATAAATTACCCAGTGGTATACTGTTACAGCAGCACAAAACAGACCAAGACAGTATCATTCCTAGATTGCTATTTTTCACATCCTATTTGAAAAATGAAATATGATATACTTTGTAAGTTGGTGGAGATTGGGGTGGGAGGGTGAGAGATTCTTCCCCAAACATTTGGAAATAAGATGGCTGTCTGAGAGTTAAACTGAAACATTAAGTCACAATTCATGAGCTCAAAATACATTTATCAAACAACCATTATGGGTGTGTATAGCAGCCTGCCTTGAAGATGGTATTTATGACCATGTATAGTTCCCCTTCTCAATAAATAGGGCTGACTCATGTAACCAATAGGATACTGTGGAAATGACAGAATGTGACTTCCTAGGCTAGGTTGTAGAAGACATTACAGCTTCTCTCTTACTCTCTTAAATTAATTGCTCCAAGGGAAGCCTCTGCCCTGTCTTGAGGACACCCAAGCAGCCCATCGGAAAATCTCCTGTAATGAGCAACTGAGCCATCCTGCCAACAGCCAGAGGACTGCGGAGGCTTCCTGCCAAACCCTTGTGTGTGAGTCATCTTGAAGTGGAATTCCAGTCCCAGTCTAGCCTTCAGATGATGCAGCACCAGCCAACATCTTGACTGCAACCTCATGAGAGACCCAAAGCTGGAACCATCCGGCTAAACTGTTTCTGAATTCCTGACCTACAGCCCCCTAAAAACAGGCAGAATCTTTCTCACACCAGAAGCAGGAAGAACAAGAAAGTAGATATGCTAGTCTTTGATAAAATTGCAGACAAGAAAAAACAAATCAATTAAAAGAAGAATTAGATATGACAGAACCCAGAAAAAGGTAAAAGAGATCCACTGTGGCATGTCCTATGTACATTCTGTTTGGAGGAGGAGGTGCCCTGGGTCAAAACTTCCCCCTAGCTGTCTGTTTCCAGAGGCAGACATTGTGGAGATGGCCCGATGTCATTAATCTTTGAGTTGTTAAAGCAATTACCTACTAAATGATTTCATGATTGCTAACAGTAGCTAAATGAAGTCAAAGAAGCTCATGAAGGAACGTTACCCAATAGAAGATTCTGGCCTTGGAAGACACTCCAAGTACAATAAGTTTTAGGGCTTTCCTCCCTCTTTTCTATCCTCCCTACCACCCCATTCCATCAAAATGAGGGAAAGTGTTCAGAGCTGAAAGAGGAGGAGGTAGTGATAAGAGAAGCGATGGGAGGCACAGAAAGGAAGATGAGTGTGTGTGTGTGTGTGTGTGTGTGTGTGTGTGTGTGTGTGTGCAGAAAGGCTCCCAGGGAGAGTGCAGACCTTACTAACAGGCTTCAGAGCGGTGCCTTTGGCTCAGCCAACTGTCCAGGCTGGGAGCAGACTATGAGCCACTGGGAAGCAGAAGTTTAGTTTTGGAATCACCTTGGGTGATTCTACAAAATCTACAGAAGTTCCCCAAATTGTCCAAGACAATGCGCTTCCTTTGGTAAAACCCATCTACTAGCAGGGAGCAAAAATACTTGCCCTTCTTCCCCAATTTCTTCCCCAACTTCTGATCAAGAACCTCAGCTTTTTGTGGCCACGCTCATTCTTTTCCACTCTTGGATAAAGGAGGGAATCTCATTTTTTCTTCATTTGGGAGAGAGGGTAAGGTGGGCACATTTCTACTGCACTGGGGCCAGTTTTTTTCTTAGTTTTACCACTATTCATCATGCAATGTTGAGATGATAAATTGGCCTAATTAACTGCTTCCTTGAGGGAAAGAATGTACCAGTCAGAGGATGTGAGTATCTGAACTACTTGTGAGTTATAGTTTTAATGCAAATGGATTGATTGTGTCTGATTTGTGTATATGTTGCCTGGGAGCTGAGTTAGTATGCAGGCACACTGTGTAGATAAAATCAGTTTTTCAATGGGCAGAGCTAAGCATCAGGTTAATTCACCAAAGTAAATAATACTGAAACCACCCTTTTTAAAGTTAGTAAAGGGCCACAAGTTGGGAACTGTGGTAGGGGACAGAATTCTGCAAATGTATAGGCATAGTTAAAATATATATATACTATGTATTACCAGCCATTGTCCCCTAGTTTGCTTTCCTATTATTGCTACTC